GTATGTGCGTCGCGTGTCAAGCAGAGTGTATCAGCGTGTACGTAGTACTGCTACCACTCCCAGTACATTCCCTCATCTGTTCCAGTGCATTCTACTTGTGGGTCTGAATCTTGACTCCTTAGATAAGAAGACAAAAGTTCCTTACATCAAAACCAAGTACCCACTTGATGTGAGTGATTCTGTATACTTGTAGAGGTGTTTCACAGCTGCTTCAGAAACTAAAGACTGATTTTATGGCACTAGCACTAGCTGAATTACTGTTTCATTTTCAGCTTACACAGTGATGTTTGTACTGCAGACATTTAAATTAACTAAATGATAGTAATGTACAGTGAATTCAAAAGTCTTAGTTATGTATTTAAGGTATGATCCTGAAAGTCATAGGTAAACTCAGGGAAATAAAAATGAAACCCAGAATTTCTGTTGCCCCACTGAAGATGTGTTTGGATGCATGCACATGCATATGTGCAAAACAATTATTTTGTTGTTTTATCACCTTTCTGTTTTAAACAGGGGACATCACTTTAATAGGAAACTGAAATTGTAAATATTTGAAAAGAAAATGTTGAGAAGAATATTCACGATCAACCTTTCTTGTGAACTTTTTAGTGATTCTGAAACTAAAACTACAGTTGTTTTATAGCGTTGAGTGAGATCAGAATACTTAATGTATAAGGATTTGTAGGAAGATAATCTTAGCCAATCTGAAGTTACTGTCCTAGTGTTCACCTGGAGAGACTGAGGAAGACCACAGAAAACTCAATCAGGGTAGCCTGTAATCTAACAAAGATTGAAATTGGGTACAAATACATTTTTACGTTAACCTGCCGTCTGGCAGGTTGTTATGGTGATCAAAATGAACCTTTATGACTATTATTTGTTTGATGGTATCTTGTTTGAATCATTTTACATCTCATGGAGGCTATACAGTTTTTAGGCATTTGTATGCTTTAGTGTAAGCAAAGTACATCCTATGGGGCCTGTTATGTATGTCTCTGCCTGTCATGTCTTTCAGCCAAAGAGATTGTGCTGCCACATATCACTGATCATTTCAAGTAATAGTGTTTTATCTGTCATTTGCTGTTCGCCGTACTTGATATCACATCCATTGGATGATGATTATTAAGTAATGAATAATTATAATTTTATGATAATTATGATTTTATGAGGTGGAGGATGATTATTACATTATGATGATTGTTGGTGATTTGATTGTGATGATTATGCTGATTGATTAAATTATGTTTATTTTATGGTGATATTTGTCTGTTGTGTCTTTCAGCAGCCCCTTCATTCTATCTCCAGGAACTGGGTCTCCCTCAGGTCCTGAGCCACTCTTTGACTATTAAAGTTCTTCCCCTGTCAAGCCTTTCACCCCTAGGGTTTGCCTCAATGAGGTTTAGCCTCTCAGGATTGTCCTTTTTGGGCTACCTCCCCAGTTTCTTCAAAATTCGTGGGACTGTCCTATGCTCTGTACTTATGGTCTTACCGCATTCGAGGTTCAAGCACCATGGATATGCCACCCTCAGGAGCTAGGTAAACCCATGAAGATATTGCCTAGGGGTAGAATTAGGACTTCCTCACCTTTACTTTGTCTCCCAAGTTTGCTCTTCACTGTCCTTTTTGGAATTGCCAATAGGTTGCCAAGTCTAGAGAGTAGATGACAGAGGTAGTTTGATGGCCAAGAGCAGGGCTACCCTTGGGGCTTCCCTCTTTGGATTGGCCAACCTTTGTTTTTGACCCACAGTGAGGCTCGTTCTGTCTGTCATGTTTCAGTTAAAAGTTTCTGCTGCCGTCTGTCTGGCTGTATTATTCACCTTAACTAATCTGTCAGCGACCATATCAACTATACACCCTTTCCTCCCATCTACTTCAATGATCAACTGATCATGCTCCCATCTGTCATTGGCCATATCCATGCTGTCATCAGTGAGCATATGAACTAGTTGATATTTCTCATCACACAAAGAACATCGTTGTGTCTTTTGTGTATTCTTACAGAGTACGCAGTCTTAATATGTTTGTGTTTACCAGGCTGATGTTCCTCCTCACATTGAGCATTTGTGCTTTCCTGATGCAAGAGACTGGCCACCTCCACTGCCAGCTGCTCCATCTCTGCCAGGCCCTGGAAGTAATGATGAACAGAGCTATTCGCTTGTGATCACTAGTGAGACGGGAGTACGGAGGTTTGGCTACTGCAGACGTGTTCAGCCTGAAGGTTCAAGCCTGTGCTTGCCTCTAGCATACTGCATTATCAGTCCATTCAGAGCCAGTGGCTTCTACTACAAGGTATTTAAACAGGCACTCTCTGAATATTTAGTAAACAGACCTTAATTTGAACCAGGTACCTCCCAGATACAAGTAATTCCACTAGCCTCTCAGTTTATCATCAGTTTTAATCTTCTTTGTAATCTGATGATATTTTGTTTGTTAAAATGTTGGAGTGAAAGCAAAATGATGTTTATTTGTGCAGATCCTTGCAGAACTGGAGTCTCGACATGGTCAGCCAGAATGGCTTCAAACTGCTTTCATCAAGGAGCTGTACTCTTGTCAGTTTCCTGCTCCAGGACAAGGCCTCAAACTTGATACAGCTAATACAACATACAATATTGCAGGTGAAGACAGACCATAGTACTTGGGCTCATTTTGTCTGGTGTGCTGATTACACTGAACAACAAAATTTAGCGTTTTGATTTTTTCCTCCCAAAATATGGTACGTGTTATGGATTTCGATGAACTGAATCCAAATTTGAAGCTGCATATTGCCTAGCACCCACAGATTTTGAAAGGGGTGCAGGTACCTTTAATATTAGGAGTATTTATTGGATATGAGTTTTGATAGTTTCCCAAATATATTGACCCATTTTGTCACACTTTATTTCCTAATGCCCTGAATTCAACAATTTCAACATGGCATAATGTGTGAAATCTTAATTTAATTGTCAATATGTGGTATGTGAAAGGCAGAAGAAAGTATTGTTTTGCATAGACACTACTTGTTACCAGGTTTGTTACATCAGTCTGAAATGTGGACAAGACCAGTTAGGTTCGCATGTACAGTGGATCCCGTTTATTTGAACACATTGGGACTAGAACACTTTGGCCCAGTTAAGCAGTTACCCCATTTATACGAACATCCACGTAAATGTTTGTTCTTTAAGATTTGTCCCAAATGAATGGCTGCCCTGATCATGGGCAATTCCAATTAACTGGAATCTACTGTATTTGAGTTGAGGTTCATTCAAAATAACCAGGATATGGTAGAACTCGGGGAACAGAATGATTTGGTCATTTGTATGATATAGTGCCAGTGGCAAACATTGAAGTAGCCAGTTACTTTATAAATATGGCAAAAACTAATCCTAGATGTGATACTACATGTGTTGCTTTTTGCAGGACCTGTGTGTAATGTGGTTACAACTGTAGTGCGAAGGCCTATGGACTCAAGACTTGAGGAACGTGACCTCGCACAATTATTCTCCGCTGTGCCTGTACCTGTATTGTTGCAACTTTTTGGGTCACTTTTGTTAGAGAGGAGGGTTATTCTCATCAGCAATTCACTCAGGTAACTGAATATAATACAAATTATATTTGTTAGGGATATGTGAATGATCTGTAAAACTTGTTCTCTCATTGTAAGGGATGAATAGAGATTCAGGTTTTCGATAGCAGAGTGCTGTTGGGAATATTATGTCCAGATAGAGGAAACAAGAGGATAATGAAGAAATTTACATTTTGACAATATTAAAATTTGTGTTCATTGCATACTATTGATAGCTTAATAAAATCAAGCTACCTTTTTATTGGGCAAACTCTTAAAGAGAGAAGATTATCTGTTCTTTGGCTAAGTGTATTTTCAGGAAACATGAAATTGGTGATATGAACATAATGTATTAAGCAACCTTGATTTTTGATGGTACGGGACATTTTGGGTATGTAGTCGCATATGCCAAACTTGTCATTTAAAAAATAGACTTGTTAATGTTCATAAAAATTAATTAGGAGGTCTGTGTAACAAGAAAGTGAACCTTGTCACTTAACATTCAAAATACATTATTAAAACTGTGTGTTTACTCTTTTTTTAATCAGTTCATAAAATGTTTTAGATAAAATTCTAGTATTTGGAAAATTTAACCTTTTATTTATGATGAAAAACTAAACGTTGGTTTGTATTTTGTACACTGTATTTCCCTTTGAAACATCACTAAGCAAAAATACACAAAAACATAAAAAATAAACAATTGCAATTTGCCACCATCTCCATTTTCATGTTAATATTGTTGGTGGGCAGTGAGCAATTGGTGTTTTAACACAGAGTAGAATGTAGTTGAATAGGCAACATGAATTTTGTAATGTATCTCCAGTATTTGTTCAGAATCATGGTTGCTGCTGAATGAAGTATCTGTTGTCACACTTATGTTGTAGTGTAGGTCTTTAAACTGTTGCTTATTTTAAGTGTAGTTCTCTTCTCAATTTCTGATTTCCGGTTTGCTTTTATATTTACAGTCGGCTGTCATCCTGTGTGGAGGCTGTTCAGTCAATACTTTATCCATTCTCTTGGCAGCACACACTGATTCCAGTACTACCAACTTCTCTATTGGATATTTGCTTGTCACCAACACCATATATTGTTGGTATTCTCAGAGGCAGAGATTCAAGCACTGTAACAGAACCAATTGATGAGGTATGTTGCCTTATATGTCCCTTAGAAGATTTTTTTTTAAAAAAATCATTTGAGTTAGCTAGGTGGCAGTATTCAGTGTCAGAAAGAGATTTCCTAAGCAGATGCATGAAGAACTTGACTTGGATGAATGTTTATGGTATCAGAAATCTGATATTGTGAAGTGACTGCTGCAGTATGCAGTGAAATGTTGAGGTGGCACCACTTAAAATGTTTTCTATCTTCAGTATCATAATAATTTAATTCCCGAGTTTTATAACATGAGGTGGACCAACAGTAGCCCAGTGGGGTTCTGCACACTGGTGGCCAAAGTGGGTATTATCAGAGTTTGAATTTGTTTCTTTACAGTGGTCACTCAGGTAGCCATTGTTTTGGCGAGTATTGTTATGCATTTCTTGAATTCTTGTTATGGTTCCAAAATGGTTTGTGTTGATGTAAGTAGAGAATCATCTGAAATGTTGGTTTGTGTTAAGATTGTTTACCTTTGTTGGATTAGATTTGGACAGGTTGGTTTAGGTTAGGTTTTGTTTGTTTGGGTTAGGTCAGGTCACCTTATGTTACGTTACCGTAGGTTCGATAAGGTTGTGATGTGTGGAGTAAGTCAATGTATGTAAGGTTGGATTAAATTGATTTAAGTATGATAGGTTAAATTAGATAGGTGAGAAAAATGATGAATTAATTTGCTGTGGTTAGAAAATATGGGGTTGCAAAAATGTGTGTTGGGGGGAGTTCAGATTTAGTACCCCTAATTGTGCTGTGCAAAGAATACATGAGGGAATTCTGATGTGTAATATACTTTCCTGACTTGTTCCTGTGGGATAGACAACCTGGGGTCATAATTACGCAACACTGGGAACGTACGGTTCTCAGTGTAGGAACATGTGCAACGATGGGAAATGAGGTTGTCATTGGAACACACATTGTACAACAATAATAGCGCATGGATTGTTTAAACAGTGCAAAGGTGATCATTAATTGTATTAGTACAAGAATATCCTGAGGCATAATAAGGACCTCAGATGACATAGTACAAGAATTACATTACCATTGTATTGCATTAGTGCAACAATAACATGCTTGATACAGCATGAGGAACACCTTTGAAATGTCAGTGTACTCCAACAAGTACACATTTCTAATTTTATTAAAATTTGGGACATTTAAATTGGAAGAACATTGTAACATAATTGGTGCTTATGCTGTGGGTTCTGTGTTTTTAGAACACAAGATGGATTTGTTGTACACTGTTACAATTGATCATTTTCTGGATAATATCTGACGCTTCACAGATTACAGTCTCAATTATCTGCATGTAAATGTTTTCTTCTTCATCATAATACAATTCTTCTGGTCTCCTGTAACTTGCTCACTCCTGCCATTCATTTGTTCATAGTTGTCGCTCAGCATTCCATATTTTACATGTTAATAGTTATGTTTGTATATTGCAGATGATGATGGTAGACCTGGATGAGTCACAAGTTTTACGGAGTGTTGGAGATGAATCAAGTATCTTACCTTCCAGGCTCCGTCGTTGTCTGAAAGTAGCCCTCCAGCTTGTTACTAACACCACCCAGCCATGGGATGCATCACGGAATGTACTTGTGTCTGAAGCATTTGTTCGAATGTTTGTTGAAGTTTGTGGGCATTATCGAAATCATATCGTCACCCAGCAGGATGGTATGAAAGTATTTGAGGTTTGTGAAACATCAGTCACAGCAATTTGTCACATTTGCAGAGGAAGTAAAAAGGACAGACAAAGACAAACATAATGTTATGTTGACACTTCAGTGTCTGCTATGTAGAATCCATATCTTCACTTCTGTTTACCATGTTTTATTTCTGTATTAATAGCTTCAGAATTTCTGCCGTCTGTTGATAGCTCAATAAGCAGCTTTGTTTCATGATGTATCCAGAGGGAAATGGTCATGTTCCAATGGAAAGTTTCTATATATGAAGTGTTTCATTTCACTTCCTTATTTTGTAAGGAAAAGTAGACTTGTGGTGTCATAAAATCAGTATTTTTTTTTATGAAGCTTGGTTTAAACATAATACCACTAGAAGTCATCCCAACTTCTGCACACTTTCTTAGCTATAGTTACTGATTTGTGTTAATAAATTATTAATTAGAAATGTGACAGAAAATAACTCAATTACATTACATGTGCATGTACAGAAATTTGTTTATTGTCTCAAATTATTATTTATATGGGTGTTTCTTATATTTCAGAGAGAGTCATTCATTAAAGCAGTTACATGTCAGAGCTTCAGATTGTTTTTGGAATGGTTTACTGAGACAGCTATGTTCTCTGCCTTTATTGAATCTCATCTGGATAGTCAGTCTGATGTTAGAGGTAGGTAAACTGGCTACAACATTTAGTCTTTCTGTGTGTTCGTAAACAAGTTTGGAAATGCAGATATTTGACCAATGAATAATCACTAGTTGACTATAAAGCTGCAGAATACGGAGCATATCTTCTAACAAGGACTTTGTAGTGATAGTTGGAATCTATTGCTATAATTATTTCTCTGATATGTGCCACATAGGGGTCATTCGACATCAAATCAACACAGAATAGACATTTCCAATTTGGCTTCCACATAATTAAATGATTTTTTACAGTAGCATTACCAGGGCTACAAGAAACTGTTAATGATGGTTGACCTCATTTCATAATGATTTCATTGTCAAAAAGTTTACAATGCATTAAATTCAAACATACCATAGCAGAATATGGTACATGATAAAACTGAACAAATGTAAGTATATATGCATAAATGTTGTGTTTATTACTGTGCAGAAATATTTTAATGTATTTGAAATTACTTATTAGAGATACTGGATACTGGGAACGACCCATTCTTCAAGTGCCTGAGCACTGCGGGTCCCAACTTTTCGTTGGCTTGATCTATAGACATTCGCTAGGACTCATTGGACGAGGGATCGGCCCGTTGCAAGGCCTCTACCTGTACACAGGACAGCACAACACAGAAAGACGTGGACAAACATCCATGGCTTGAGTGGGATTCGAACATTAGAGATACATATATTTTAATATTAATCCTGTGTCTCATTTACATTTGCAGGCATGTTTTACCAGCGCTGCTTGGAGCACTCTGAGGAAATGGAGAATAACACAAGATTGTTTCTGAGGAACTACAAGGTCTTGAATAAAAAAGTTAAAACCTTTGGTGAGCATTACTTTGTTATAAATGTTTTCTGCTGCAGGCAGGATGATTTTTCTCCAATTCTTTGAATGCTTTTAATATTTTTCTTTCCGAAGCATATCAGTCTGCACACCGCGCTTTCCACTATGTCTTTCACACTAGTAACAAATGCCCCTTTTTGTCAGACTACGTATTTCAGTTTTACTCTGTCATTATCAGGACTATAAACTATAAGTAAGTTACTGGACTTTTTGCATCATAAAATGTTTTTGCTAAAATCTTTTAAATTCTGACAAATTTATATACCTATCCCTTTCTTGTAGGTTATGGTTTGATTTCATTTCAGTGCCATGTTACATTTGTTCCATTGTTTTGTTTGCCATGTGTGTCTGTAAAAATAAATTATGTTGGTATGGTATTAGAGTAATTTTTGTGTAAAACAAACTTTTATTTGTTTGGTGCATCTGACCTCCTCTATGTTCTATTGATGGTTCTTTGTTGTGTTTTGGTATGGAGCTTTACAGATGACAATTTCTAAATTATTTCCAAACCCACAATCGTTATATCTCATTTGATACAATATGATCTCTGCACAATTGTAAAACAGTGGTAATTATTGTTGTGTGTTCATTGCAGGGGACCGTCTGAAGGATTGGGCACCCTTCTGATATTATTTATAGAAACAATGCTGCCATTAACACTGATCCTGAATGCCATTACAGTCAATAAGATAAGTGCCATTATTTTTATTCACACAACTTTGGAGATTGTAGATGGCAAACTATAATCCTTATATACAGAAGCTAGAGCAGTGACAATTAAAAAGCATGTCTGTTTAATATATTTGAAATGTGTATATTTATAAATATTGAAGTAGCAACTTGTGTTAGTTATTTTGTAAATGTGTTTACAGTGTAAATGACCACTCATCTATGTGATTAAAAGTAACTTAGTTTTTATACCAAAAGATTTGTAATTATAGAACTGAGGAAATGGTTGCATCTGTAGGTCTGAATACTTTAAACAGATAATTTGTTTATATTGCAAGTTCTTAGAACATGTGGATAGCTTTCATCATGTTACCTAGCATTGGTGCCACACAGATTACTGTTTTAAAGCAAATAACCTTTTCTTTTTTAATTGTCTTCATTTTTCAGTCTTCCTTCTCATTGCATCTTCTAATTCAGTCTTTTCATAGTATCTTACCTATTCTTCTCTAAAGTCATATTTGGCTTCTATATTCCATCATACATTTATCTCATAACTAACTAACTAACTAACTAGATGGCTTACCGAAGCCGAAGGTTCATCACTGAATTAACCAAAGCCCTCCGCTGGACCCTGTCCTGGGCCGACAAAATCCAGTCTCCTTCTACTCCTATCTACCATAGGTCCCACCCAACATTATCCTCCCATCTACATCTAGGTTTCCCCAGCGATCTCTTCCCCTCAGGCTTCCCAACCAATACCCGGTGCACACCTATTGTTACATCCATGCGCGCTACATGTCCCACCAATCTCATTCTTCTTGACTTAATCACCCTGACAATATTGAGGGAGAGGTACAAAATTCTTAACCTTAATTATGCAGTTTTCCCCAGACCCCATCGTCTTCTCTCTAAGGCCCAAATATCCTCCTCAACACCCTATTCTCAAACACCTACAATCGATGTTCCTCCCTCAGAGTGAGAGACCATGTTTTGCACCCATATAAAACAACAGGCAGAATTATTGTTTTGTATACTTTAATTTTCAGGTTCCTATACATTTATCTCATACCATTGCTTTTATTCACTGTAAGATATTTTTCTTTCCTCCTTATTGCCTCCTAATGTTATATTATTTAAATGTTTTATTACTTCTAATATACTTCATTTCAGAGATCTTTACCCATCTGGGAGACATACTACACCAAAAACTTCACTCTGCTTATGGTTATATGCCTCGCTGGGTGGTTGTAATTGACACCCAAATCAGGGCAATAATAATAATAATAATCTGAGCATTCAGCAATAATATAATGTCACTGTTTGATTGATAATACACAGACCCTTTGATGTCTTCCATTTGCCTTTATATCATGATACTTGGGAAGAGAAAATGTTACATGCAAAAACAACACAGCATAATCCAAATTGCCAATGTTTAATTGACCAAGATCTTTTGTAGTGTGTGTTATGTATGAAATATAATACTGGATAGTTTTACAATTTAAAGCAATATGTGCAGTTCCACTGGGAGATCAACTTTCATTTATGGTAGAGTGTGAATTCGTGAAGTCTTTCCAAATTGTGATCCATTCATCATCACATATGTGATGAAAGCACCATTTTATACTTCTTGCGTGTATTTTGTCGTTTGATATTTAGGATTTGAGGTGTTCACAACGATGAGTCTGAAGACAGCCATATTTTGGGTTGTAGTACTGTGCAGTCTACAAGGCGTTACAACCCATAAGAGATCCTTCTTCCTTTGATATTATTTGTGATTTTAAGCTTTTCAATGTTCAAATCCAACATAACAGTTGTATGGTCAGCTTCATAGCATGACCCTTTGCTGGTGATATTCTGTCCACAATGGCTACTTTCAAAGAGACAAAAGAAGCAGAAACACAGAAAGGCACAGGAGCTCTTGACGGTTCTAAAGGTGTGTGATAGGTAGCACGTGACTTTAATAATGTTACTAGAATAGGCATCAAAATGGTATATGATGCTTAAGTATGTATTTGAACCAAGATGGTGCAGACAGCATACATATTGTGATTGATATTGAAAAGGCTAATACAGTATGATACAGATTTTGAACATATATGTATAACAAATTTTTTTAAGTTAATAGTAGATTGAATGTCACTGTTCTAGACTTCGTTAATTATAATTTTTAATGCATAAAGGAAACAATACTAATGATTGAATTAATGGCCTTAAGCTGAACTACAATTTTAAATTGCCTAGTAATGAACATGCATAATAAATAAAAATGTTCCTTGCTATTATGTGTAAACAATTAGTTTGCCATGAAATTGTTTAATTCAGTTGAAGATTAAAAGGAAAATTATATTCAGGATATTAGTCAATTGTTGATTAATTCAAATGTTTGTTTTTAAAGCATTCCAGTAAGTTCTTAAGCAGTATTTTGATGTCACCAAATGTGGACTTTAAGACTCTTGACATCTTTTTTTTTTTTCATCCCCCCCCCCCCCCAACTTATGCTAACAACTCAACACAACCTCAATTCCTTTTTTTTTCCCCCCCCCCCCCCCCCCTTCTTTGTTTGGTATTTTGTACATGTGTTCAGGTTCCTCACTTCTGAAATTTATCATATGTGACCCTGTAGCCCCTTTGTAACACGGTTTTGATTATAATGTGTCATGTTTTTATAGTATGGAGTAGCTCTATTGACCAATCAAGAACACCGTGTTCCTTGTTACCCCACCTATAAATCTGATTTAATATGGGTGATTGCTTCCTAAGGAACAGCCCATAAGATCAGTAGCCTTTTCTTAACACTAAGTTTTGCATTATTGAAGAGGAGAAGCACACATGGGTGTGGTAGGGAAGAAATTGAATAGCCTTAACAGGGCAAATGATTTCCTCGATGCCATAGAAATATTATCTTTCAGCGATATAAAGACTGAGATTTCCATTATATAATTAATGATTCCTTATAATCTTTTTACATTTTGTTGTAAAGTAAGTATATTATAAATTCATTTTTCAACTAACACGACACTTATTTAAAGTGTCTGACATATGCTAATTAGTTGTACCAAATATAAATGGAAGCTAAAATTGAACACATTTTAACTGCACTTTTTACGCAAAATGACACCATTATGCTACGTGTCTTACAACTGCTAATTAGAATAAGAAAACCTATGTTGTGTCTAGTTGTCATCATAGTATTTTTACTGGATGGAGAAAGAAACTTAATGATGTGCTAGTGTAAGCTTAAAGCAGTCTCCAGAAGGTTTATAATATAGATCCCAAGACACTACAGGTTGTTTACTTAAGCCTCATATCATTTATTTTCTGCAACTAATTTTTACATAAATAAGCTATTTAAATGATATACAAACACTATTTTTACTAGGATATGCTATATCTCTTTCTGAGAATTGATTTTTTCTGGTCCCAAAATTTTTAATAAGCTGTTAGATATCTTTGGGCTGGAACTTCTTTTAACCAAAATTGTATTCATCATTTCATGATAAAAGCACATCTACAGTTCCTCATATGATTGAATGTACTTTTATTTTTATCACCACATAGGAAAATGCATTTCTTTGTAACAAAATTTTTAGTTTAGAAATCTACATGAGTGCCTGTTTTTCAACAGACATATTTTCACAAATTTTAATTGTCTGTGAAATTAGCAATTACTGCTCTAAGTAGAACTTCTTACAAATGGGCTACATAATTGTCATTACTTCTAGTTCTTTTTAAATGTAGAACATATTATTTATTTGTGATAGTGTTTTTGTGGGTGGAATGATAGTATTAAAGTATGTCATCAGACCCAGAAATGAGTGCTAGCCTTATATGAATTATCATTCAGTAATATTTGTGTATTATGATGCAATCATATGCATTGTTACAGTCTTCTTAACATAAGATGAATGATGAGGGATAGATTATCTTATTTTCACTTACCTAATGGAAAGTAATTCAACAGAAAGAAAAGATTTTATAAAAATGTTCATATTTCATCTGGACTTTCCATAACAGGTGGTAATTTTTAGTAACCATAAAACTATTTTTTTATATTTCCCCATTTTATAAAATATTTTATCCATCTCTGTTAAAGATTCTGTACTTTGTCCTGATTAATCGTTATTGAAGTTGCCAGTGATAGTTGTAGTTTTCTGAAGTTTGAATTATTCAAAACTTTCTCACAAAATATGCTGAAACTCAGTATGTTTTTGTATGTATATTTAGGTTTGTGTTATGTATAGGAGCCTCAAAATATTTTTGTGAATGTGATGAGATGGATGACACCTTAGAAATTGTAACTGCTTTCAGATACAAAAATAATTAGTTTAATATGCATCGAAGGAGAAATCAGTATGGAATAAACAAACCCAAATTGTGATTAGAAGATAAAATTCTGTCATTTCTTTAACAGTTTAAGGTTTAAATGCGTCATGTTTGTGTTTTATAATTAAAATATATAATAAAATTCAGGTCAATACACAAACTTTATTTTTTTTAGATGTTAAAATTTAAAATTTGCGCCATTCATCGCTATAACGATGTTACAATAGAGCGCCTTCATTCACTACATGTTTCGATGCGAAGCATCATCTTCAGGTGTTATCCTTTAATTTTAAATTTTAAATTTTAACATCTAAAAAAATAAAGTTTGTGTATTGACCTGAATTTTATTATATATTTTAATTCTTTAACAGTGTATATATGAATTAGAAATTGAGAAATTTATTTACTACTGATGAGCAAGCAAACATTTCAGTCTTTTTCTTTCTTTCTTTCTTAAAATGCGAGTAATATATATCAGTGTTCTGAAAATTGTTTTCGGTTCAAACCAGTACCAGTTTTGTAGGACTTTTTTTTATTCTTCTGGGCAGTAATACACCCAAACACCTCACTGATCTTCTTATCAGCTAGCTATCGGTCAGCAGAATCATGAGATTTTTTCATGGGATACTGGGATACATTCAGCGTGACACCTTTTTGGAAAAAGTTACTTCTAAAACTTTATTGAAATCTTTAGTAATACACAGCGACACTGAAATGGGACTGCTCTTGACCAGGAATTGACCATTAGTGATGCCAACAGTTTATGGCGTGGGGTGGAACGAACCAAAATACCTCCAACTGAAATCCCCACCAGGCTGAGCAGCCAGCCCATTGTTCTTTGAAAAATTCAAATTTTTAAACTGACTTCCTTCAAAAATGTCCGGCTACATGGCCCTTTACATGCATACTGAGTTTTATGTCTTAATTCCATCTGAAAGCACCTTAAAATATATGATGGATGGGCAAGTAAAACAGACTCTTGTGAATTGTAATTGTTACAGGCTGATAATTTTCTACTCAAACTTAAATTATATAAAGCGCAGGAAAAAAGAATAACATATTTTATAACATTTCACCTTTGATGCTGTGAACATTTTTATGGGTATACTCAATTTAAAATTTATTTTGTCACATGATGATTACACAAGTTGCAACTGCAGCGAAACCCCAAGAGTGTTTGTCATGTGATGTTGTCTCAAGGTAATAATGTCCTACTGCACTTTGTGTGTGCACATACATGTGCATGTGTGAAAATGTGTGTCAGTTCCATCTCAGCTCTGTAGGGAAGATAGTTCGAAGTCCTGGTGAAAATTTTTAACTGGCCACATATAATGTGTTGTAGTAATAATATTTGTGTGTATATTGAGGAAACATATGTGGTAACCTTGTTTTAATTTGTTATTTCCTTATACTTTTCTGAGTTTCATAAGTATTATCATGTTTGTGTATTTGGAAGATCTAGATGTTTAGCAGATGGTGTTTGGCATAATAGTCATACCATTAATTTTGTTCTGTGGTGATTTGTATCTGGAATTATCCAGCTTCTGATGTTTGTGTTCTTATTTATTATGCGTAGGGTGCATAATAAGAGCAATAACTAATTAAAAAAATGTAACATTTTATAAAATGTTGTTGACTGAACTTGAGGGTTACAGTATAACGTTTATGAATACCACATTATAACAGTTTTAGTTTTTGGGCCAGACTTTTGGCTTACTTTATATGAACTGCATTGCCACAGATGTTTTTAAATAACTAACACCAGTGTAAGCCTGAATTTCCTTCATGATGGCAGTGATTAGGACCAAGATCTGAATAACATCCATGATTGAGGTCAAAATTAAACCAGCAGCTGAGTGAGCTGACACTGCCAACTGTGCAGTGACATAACTTGCTTTTGATAAAATATTAATAGGTTTAACTTGTTTGTAGTCATTTTTTTATATATAAAAAAGTAAACATTTTGGGTCATCGTGGTGAAAATTTAAATTAGTAAATGCAAAATTCAAAGTCTCTGTCACTGCTTCATATAATGAATGTGTCCACCTGTGGTTTGATAAGCATTTGGATTTAAATTGCATGACATAATATACTTGTCATTGATGAATAGATATGCACTGTCGGTGGATTACGTACCCCTGTTGCTGTATCCATTTCAGCAAAATGATGGACAAAGTGATTTTGTAACCTTGTTATTGACTTTGTTAATCACATGCATTGTACCTGTTTGAAATCTAGCTTTAGTGATACTGTAAGTTTGAATCTCTTTTTTATTAGGTTAACATGATGTTATAAGATTGTGTATGCTGCTGTGTGCAGGAAATGTTGAACGTTAATGATGCGTTAAATTCCCACATATGTTTGATTTAACATTTTGTGGATAAAAGAATTCTGTTACATGAGATTTCTTACAATGGGAATTCACTCTAACATTAAATATTCATAAGGCTTTTACATTGTGTTGTCACGTTTTTGAATACAGAGTACTGAAGAATTTGTGTTGTTATTTCCAGTTTTAAGAAACTCATAATTCACCAAGCATTACATGGCCAAGAGTCAGTAGTAACAAAACAATACACATTCACTGAAAACCAACATTCCGCAATGCTACATCTGGCACCATTGCCTGTTCTACATTTCCTTGCTTTGCTTGCATGCGATTGGTGCATTCTTCAGCCGACAGTTCTACAGAAAAGACGCTGTAAGCTATGATAGTCTTATAATAGCAGAATGAAATCACTCTTGGGTAAGGTTGAAGCCTTGAGTGAAACCTTCAAATAAATTTGTAACTATAGAGAAATTAGAATTCTGTTTGAGTGTGTGAAGAAGGTGAATCTAATGTGGTAGACAGTAGTGTTGGGCATAATTCATTATTCCATCATATGTAGTCCCATGCTATATATTCTGAGCTACTAAAGAGCATTGTTAAACAAAGTATAAAATAAATAAAAATCATATGTAGTGACCTGTCTTCCCCCGTTGACACTAATGTGATAGTGTTCTCAGTTTTACCTTTACAAACATACAAGGTTTACATGAATGTTGAATTTTAGTCCATGCATCTGTTGCTATATGAAATCTCGCTCTTGTAAGTCAGGTTTATCTGCAGTGTAACTACATTCAAGAGGAAACCCATTTTAATCTCTGCCATATCGATCATAAGTTTTATGTGGATTTTCTTTGTCCTGCTTGGTAGATGTGAGAATTGTGCCTTAAAATAGGCCACAGTAAACACAGATAGTGAAGGGGTAAAGAATTGGTCATGGTCTCTTTCAAGGTGCTGTCCCAGAATATCATGGGTAAACTAAGAATTAATGATGAAGAATGCTGTAATATCACTTGTAACTTGGAGCCAGTCACTAACTAACTAGCTGGCTTAGGGAACCCGAAGGTTTGTCACAGAATTAACTGAACCCTCCACCAGTCCCTGTCCTGGGCTAGCAAAATCCTTAACGATAAATAATTTTAATGGGTATAAATATTTTGCATCATCATGTTTGACCTACAGTTCCCAGTAATGACCAAAAGTAATAAAACATTCTTTGAAGTATTGGTTACAGTGTAGTATATGCAAAAACTGCTTCTCATTGTAATTAATGTATTTCAAGTGAGCCTGATGATGGCTGTTGCTGGTAGGTAATCAATTTATGGATTTACCATGTAAAATGATTACCTGTTCAGTATATAAAACTACTTTGTTGTGTGCATGACATTCTTACATAGGCTATTTCCTAATTGCTTTTAACTCATCTGAAATTCAAGATGTATATTTCCCAGATATGCGTAAGTTGCACTAATCCTGTTTTAACCCACTCAGTTTTCTGCTTTTATACAAATACGTCCTAGTGCTGGTAGGATCTTAAAAGTCAAGGCTATCCAAACAACATGACATGCGAGGAGCGATAGAATGTACTTTTTTTAACGAGCTAACTCCATAGTATACAGTCTTCTTGAGAAATTGATACTTAATTACAATGTCAAAAATCTGCCCCTTGTATGGCATATGTAAGTTCATAACCATTTTCACAAAATCGAATCTAGCTGGCCTTGTCCCAAGACCTGTGAATGTCACAGTATAGTAATTATCACTCCCGATTCACATCTGTGCTATACATAGGAATATTCCGATATGTATAAATAAAGGTGCAAGCATATATAAATTGCTCGGTGCTCTTTATTTATTAAAATTTAATTTCATGGAACATTATTTTGGTTGTCTTATTTTAATTTGCTACTCTTAGTGTACTATATTTTCATAAATGTAGCAAAAGGATTAGTGGGTTCTACTGGAAACAGAAAAATTGAGTAGTTCCTTACTAATTAACTACATGGAGCAGAGTCTTTCAGGAGCTGATAGTCACTCAACTAGTCAACCTTAAGATCAACTTTAATATTATCCTTCTGTCTATGCCTTGGTCTTCCATATTGTCCATTCCCTTCATATTTCTTATTTCCCCCATGCATGCTACATTTCCAACCTAGCTCATCATCTTTGATGTGATCATCCTAATAAAATTTAGAGAAGAGTACAAATTATGGAGCTAATGAACTTCATTTAAAGATTCTTGATAACAGTTTAAGAAATGTTCCATGAAATAAACATCTATTCTTGCAGTTTAATAATAATTTAAATTCAAATCCGTAATACAATGGATCCTTATTAGCTTCTTTATTATACTTTACTTTCTTAATACTCCTATTCATTAGATTTTATCTTTGCCTGTTGTTATTCTCAGTATGGCCCTAAACTTGACCTCGCTTCACGTGTAGCCTTTTGGTTGTCCATCTAGTCACACGTTACAAAATCACTTATCTGGAAAAACCATGATGTCACAAATATCTTCTATAATAAGCAATACTGTACTAAGAGGTCATGTAGAATAATTATTGATTATCTAATACAAACTTCCATTACGCTCATTATGTGCTGCTTCTTACTATATCTACTAAAAACGTGATGTTGCTTGTAAAATGAAAGAAACTGTGCTCATCCCGGATGCATGGTGAATCTTTTTGTGACCAGTAAGTGAAAAGCCAAGACCATCTCCATTGTTTAAGAATTTCACAAGGTCACTATTCGAATCATAGAGTATAGTCATGGGTCAGCAATTGTGGACTTCCTATTAGAATCTTGTGTGTGTTACATATGTATATATATTTGTATGGCGATATATACCTTTTTTCTTTGGATTACTCGTCTTGTATATCTAATAATCAAACAGCACCAATTATAATTGGTGCTGTTTGAATTTGGTGTTATTAGAAAGTTCTTTAAATTTAAACATTTATTGGTTTTGAAACATTATGTCAGCAAACTAAGTTACATCCTACTAAATGTAGGTCAAAGTAATGTGGAAATCCCATATACTACACTGTTAACCTGTTAGCCTGGTCATTTATGTAATACTTGAGGCACAGCCTTTTAGTCACATCAGAACAAAAGATGGTGATGAGTCATATGTCACACAATCCTATATGGGTGGGCACCCATGTCCTTGTACACATATAATTAAAAGTTTGCTTCAAGAATATCAAGATATTCTGTTGTCTAAATTACGACTTGCATGAGGACACAAGTTTTTTTTATCTTGAAAGATCCAACACAAGTTTTTCTTCCTCTGTTTATATATATAAATAAAATGCACTCTTACAGTTGGAATAACCAAACTGAAATGACCTCCACCTCTGCATTTACTTTCATCACCTGGACTTGGGGACAGGGGTGTCTTTAATTGCTGTCATAATTTTGGGGAGCAGTCATTGATATTTTGATGTGTCAGTCTGGGAAAACTGAGGAAAAACATGAACATTGTTGTATAGTAGCCACACTCATGAGGGTGAAATGCACTGAGTTGCCTGTCTGGTCTACAAAAGAATTGATAAAAAATAGCCAGCCAGTGTTAAACAAGGAATAACATAGATAAAATTTCTGTGTCTCAGAATTTTGATTCTCTTGGGGTTTGTAATTTTCCATAGATTGTGTGGGTGTATACTCTCCCATTTTTGAGTCCTTTTGTTTCCTTCCTTCTCAATACATTTGTAGAGTCATTCGTATTAATTTACTTTCATATGTCTTCTGTAGTAATTTCTATCTTTTACTTAGTGTTTCGATGTTTAACCTTTTTCCATTCTTTCCATTTTATGCTGTTACTGTAATTATTTCTTTTATGCCCAGTTGCATTATTTCCATTTCAGCCCTTCTTCCGTAAACAGTACTTGGCCAATTGAATTTGGAAATAGACTGAAAATCAGGTAGTACATATTTTACAGAAGGGTTTAATGCTGTTGTAGAAAATAACGCCATCGAACAGAGTCCTTTTTTGAGTAGATAAGTTGCTCAGCTAGCCAGAAATTACCCAAATCGTGGAAACTAAATGTTTATTGCTTTATTCAGAAGAGATTGCCGTTGGTCCCTATCAATATATGATCGCATTATGACGCATTCGTAAGTGTCGTGGGTATTGGCGTTATGTTGTTCACAACTCACGTATTTGTCAGTCCGTTGACGTGTCATCTGTCGGAATAAGACATAGTACCGCTGCTTGGTCTGTAGTAGGTTTATGATGAATTGGGGTTAGAAATATCACAAAATACTGCACAAAAACGACGTGGAAAATCATTGAAAAATAATAAATTTATTCTTAAAACCGAGAATGAAAAAACAATAATGGAATCAGCACCCGAAGGCCTACACCGGCAGTACTATACGGGTTAACCCACGCCAATCGTCAAGTATGAAACTTAATTTAGAAAAACCCAAACGGCAGTGCTTGGAGTGCATCCAGAAGAGGCTGGTAAAAGGTAGAACAAGGGAATGGGAGGCGTATGCATGCACCAAAAGGCAGGTTCAAGCAACGATCTGCGGCCACTGGTTACAGTCCGGCAATCACAGGTCCCGCAAGCGGTACATCGTCTCAGAGTAGACAGCAGTGACAAAATATCGAAAATAAAAATCATGAAAACCCGTCCATTCACTCGCATTATTGTATATGTACAGACGGAGATTGCTGAGATTACGTTACTACAGACAATGGCGTCATCAGGGCAGCGAACGGAAGAAATGCTACAGTGGCAAGGTAATGCAAAAAAGAGTGCAGTGAAAGTTTGCTGTGGCGACAATGTGATATCACTGCTTATGTGCACAGGATCATGGCTAATGGCATCATCATGGTCACACCTAACGAATTTGAGCTTTCATCACATTGGTGTTCCCGACTGTACTCTAGAAATGATGGTTTTGGAGCAGCCTCCGTTGGAATATTATCCATACCATTTTTAATGAAAATCCCTCCATATATTCCCAAGTTACTGCTTGAGTATAGACTGATTTCAGATATGTTTGCTGTCTCCAGCAGCAAGTACGTCTGAAACGTCACTTCTACCAGAGTACACAACAAGACTGACATTTTCATATTTTCCACTTTGAGAATCTGATTATGAGGAAATATAGTTTCGAAATGGCAAGCAAAAAGATTTCTTTAGTTACTTATCTTAAAATAATTCAGTAATAGTTGAAGACATATCGCTTCTGACATGGAAGTTACATGTTCTCGTCTGTCAACATGTCAATATTCTTTTCATTTAAGGTATCTTTTTAGTAACTGTTTGAGGTATTCAGTATTTTCGTAGATTATTATTTTTGCATTGTAGTTTTGTTTGGAATTTTGTATGCAGTGCAAAGAATTTGCATGTTACAACTTTAATATGTTGATGATGATGCCAATTTTTATTAAATTTTGTGTAAAAGTCTAGTTCACTTTTGTGAAAGCATGAAATCTCTCAGATAACTGAATATATGTTAACTGCTCAAGTAAAACCTGTGCAATAATGGTAGCTGCTGTTCCTAAGCACCATGCCATAAAGGTGTGGGAATAAAACTCCAGACCTCAGCCGTAGACTGAGGTGAATGTTCA